CCACCACGCCTGGCTAATTTTTTGTATTTTTAGTAGAGACGGAGTTTCACCGTGTTAGCCAGGATGGTCTTCATCTCCTGACCTCATGATCCACCTGCCTCAGCCTCCCAAAGTGCTGAGATTACAGGAGTGAGCCACTGCGCCCGGCAGTATAGTCTTAAGACTTCACAAAGCAAAGAAATTCCTGTGTAAGCCTCATCAGGACTGGGGGTCATGAAGAGGAAGGTAACTGTCATGCCTGCAGTTTGCAGCCAACCCATTACTAAGCAGCGCCTGTCTGTGGGGAGCTCCTGCCAGTGCCTCCTCCTCCATGCCCAGCAGGAAAGAGAGGCTGGGAAGGATGCATGCGCCCCATGCCTGGCTCTACTTGCAGTGCCCCCAGGATAAAAGCCAGGAGGCAGGCCTGGCACGGTGACTCACGCCTGTAATCCCAGCACTTTCCAAGGCCTAGGTGGGCAGATCATGAGGTCAGGAGATCGAGAGCATCCTGGTTAACACAGTGAAGCCCCGTCTCTACTAAAAATATAAAAAATTAGCTGGGTGAGGTGGTACACGTCTGTAATCCCAGTTCCTTGGGAGCCTGAAGCAGGAGAATCTCTTTAACCTGGGACGCCCAGGTTGCAGTGAGCCGAGATCGCGCCACTGTACTCCAGCCTACGCGACACAGCAAGACAGGAAGCCAGGAGGTGGGCAGTCAGGAGGGGGAGGGGGACCCGGGAGCTGTGGCTTCTTCTACTCAAGATAGAGAAAGGACGGCTCCCCTGGTTATTATCAGGACCAACTGATTTTGCCTGATCTGAGAGAAAACATCCTGACCACAGGTCACTTGAAATGCCCTGTAATTCAGAAACAGTGGCTGTCCGCAGCAGACAGCCATCTAGATTTAAGTCCCCAAATTCACACACCACACCACAAAGTAAAAGTGTCCACTTACAAGCAAAAAATAACAAACTTAAACAGACAAGCCCCCAACCCACTCTCATTTCATTTCCCTTGGTTCAAGGTCTCCTCTGAGCAGGTCATCTCTCCTGGTGTGTTTGCGTACACGCTGTGGGGGTGTGGGGAGGGAGTCCCTTTTCCTCTTAACCCAGGCAGGGCTGGCTCCAGGTTGCACAGAGCTCCAGAGACAAAACTGCTCACTGCAGAGAAGGGCAGGATCCAGCCCAAGCTCTACTCTGATGAGCTCTGAGATTGGGGGTGGTGACTTCATCTTCTATCTATGGCTTGGAACAATGATGATGACCATGACCCTCTGGTTTCAGTTCAGTCAATGAACACGGAGCAAACTGCTATCGTCAGGCACTAGTCTAGGGAGGTGATTCAGAAAGGCTCCCAGAGACCCACACGCCAATCACTAAACTAATACAACACGCTAAACGCTACATCTACAGTAGGGATGAAGTGTTTTAGGTACAGAGACATAAGGGAGTTGAGAAAAGCTTCAGAGGTTTTCAAAGTGGTTTCCAGACCATCATTGGCCAGCCTCACCTGGGAAGTTGTTAGAAATGCAAATATCAGCTCCACCCCAGACCTGCTGAATCAAACATTCTGGGGGTGGGGCCCAGCAATCTGTTTGAACAAGCCCTCCAGGTGATGATGATGCAACCTAAAGTCTGAGAATCATGTTGAGGTTGGAAAACTACGTTGCAACCAGCAACCTGTTTTTGCAAATAAAGTTTTATTGGAATATATCCATAATCCTTCTTTCAGATATTGTTTGTGGCTATTTCCCTTTTAAACAGCAGAGTTGGGAGTTACGACAGAGACAATACGGCCTGCAAAGCCTGATTCTGCCAAATAACTAGACTAGATTTCCCATACAGGGAGCATAGCCTAGATTTTTTTTCTTTTTTCTTTTTTTTTTGAGACAGAATCTCACTGATAACGCAGGCTGGAGTACAGTGGTGGGTTCTCAGCTCACTGCAACCTCCACCTCCTGGACTCAAGTGATCTCCCAACCTCAGCCTGCCAAGTAGCTGGGACCACGAGCATATGGCAACATGCACAACTAGCTTTTGTATTTTTTTTTAAAGACGGAATTTTTTTTTTTTTTTTTTGAGACAGCGTCTAGCTCTGTTGCCCAGGCTGGAGTACAGTGGTGCGACCTCAGCTCACTGCAAGCTCCACCTCCCTGGTTCACGCCATCCTCCTGCCTCAGCCTCCCAGGTAGCTGGGATTACAGGTCCCCGCCACCATGCCCAGCCAATTTAAAAAACATTTTTAGTGCAGACAGGGTTTCAGCATGTTGGCCGCAGGGGGGCTCAGTCTCCTGACCTTGTGATCCACCCGCCTTGACCTCCCAAAGTGCTAGGATTACAGGTGTGAGCCACTGTGCCCGGCCCAATAATTATTTTAAATAATTTTATTTTATTATTATTATTTTTGAGACAGGGTCTCACCCAGAATGGAGTGCAGTGGTGCCATCTTAGCTCACTGCAACCTCCGCCTCCCAGGTTCAAGTGAATTCTCCTGCCTCAACCTCCCAAGTAGCTGAAAGTACAAGCACGTGCCACTACGTCCAGCTAATTTTTATAGTTTTAGTAGACACAGGGTTTCATCATGTTGGCCAGGCTGGTTCGAACTCCTGGCCTCAAGTGATCCACCCACCTTGGCCTCCCAGAGTGCTGGGATTACAGGAGTGAGCCACTGCGCCCAGCCTAAATTACTTTAAAAAATGGGATCATAGGCAGGATACGGTGGCTCCTGCCTGCAGGCGGGCAGATCACTAGGTTAGTTCCAGACCAGTCTGGCCAACATTGAGAAACCCCATCTCTACTAAAAATACAAAAAATAAGCTGGGTGTGGTGGTGTGCACCTGTATTCCCAGTTACTTGGGAGGCTGAGGCAGGAGAATCACGTGAACGCGGGAGAAAGAGGTTGCAGGGAGCCGAGATCGCGCCATTGCACTCCAGCCCGGGCGACAGTGCGAGACTCCGTCTCAAAAAAAAAAAAAAAAAATTCCTCTAGCCCAAATCCCTCCATCACAGAAGCAGTTGGAGGAGCTTGAAAAGGTTAGGTAACAGGCCCATGAGGCTTGTCTGTGGAAAGAGCTAGGCTGCAAGACACCTCTGACTCCGTTGAGGGCTTTCTCTTACTCTCCTTTCCCTATTTAAGACATTAAATCATTTAAGACAGTGTCATTTGGTCCGGCACGGTAGCTCACGCTTGTAATCCCAGCACTTTGGGAGGCTGAGGTGGGCGGATCACCTGAGGTGATTGGAGACCAACCTGGCCAACATGGTAAAACCTAGACTCTACAAACAAAAAAAAAAAAACAAAAAACATATATATATAAGCAGGGCGTGGTGGCACGTGCCTGTAATCCCAGCTACTCAGGAGTCTGACGCAGGGAGAACTGCTTGAACCCAGGAGGCAGAGGTTGCAGTGAGCCAAGATCGCACCACTGCACTCCAGCCTGGGCGACAGAACGAGAGTCTGACTCAGAAAAAAATAAAGTTTTAAAAAGGCAATGTCATTTGATGGAGTTGCTTTCTTGATCGTTGGCTTCAATTAAAGACCTACCCTCACTGGCTTTTGTGTTGCCTTGGACGGGCTCTTAGGTTCTCCCGCCCTATCAGGCAGTAGAGGCTGGCCTCGAGTGGTAGTCCTCCATCTTGCCCTCTCTTCCTACCCTCTACCCCCCACCCCCTGGCTGCTCTCCTCTCTCCTTCCAACACTATTCTCTTTGGGAATATGCATGTCCAACTTCCCAAGCAGTCTGGGATCTGGAGTAAGACGACTCTTGGTTTAATGGAGTTTTTCCACAGCGCTTGAATGTGCCCCAAGGGTTTGGAAGGTTGGAGAACTAACAAAAAGCAAAGCGCCATCCTGTGTCGTTTTGGCAGGTCTGTGTTTTGGTAATATATGGAAGAATTTAGAGAAGAACGAAGAAATAAGGACAGAAACTCCACTTGGGAGTACTTGTTTAACCCTGAAAAAGTTCAAGGCTGTTGTTCAAGGTCTGAATTTTCCCCTTGAGATTCGCTTGTAGTCCTTAAAGTCATCTTCCGACATCTGATCAAGGCAGCATCCGCGGAAAATTATAAGGTGGGTGGCTGCACCGGAGACTGTCCTGGCTCAGGGGAGCCGGTGAAGAGTGTGATTTTTTCCCCTTGGCGCTGCGCGATCAGAGTGGGTGCCCTCTGCTATGCAGGAAGCCCTCCTTGCCCACTAGATAGTTCTCATTCCTCAGGAGATATTCTGTCAGGGGCCGGCGTGTTTCTCCGTCTTGGCACTTACCCTCAGACCCTCCTAAGTACCTGGGAGGGCCGTTTTTTTCATCGGAGGTTGAAATGGAACCTCTCCCTGGGTGCCCGGGGACAGTGCCTTGGGGGCAGCGCCCCTCCTTCCGGAGGGCAGCATCCCGGCGGGGGCGGGGGCTCGGCTTTGATCCCAGGGCACCTTTTGTCCCTGGAGACGCTCTGCTAGCCAGGTACGTGGAGTGCAGCCCGCCCTCCGGGGCGCCGCGCGGGGCTGGGGTGGGCCGGCTGCTTCGGGGAGTGGCGGCCGCGAGTCCGCGAACGCAGGTGGGCGCCGTCGCTTCACTAACCGGGCGCCTCCGGGAAGTCCGGGTGGGGTCCGCCGCTCGCACATAGGATTAGCGTCTTCTAAACTCCATCCCTGGGAAAAGCCGCCGCACTTCTCACCCAAACTCGCGGAGCCGAGGGGTTGGGCTGGGGTTGGGAGGGCGCGGGGGCCGGCGAGGCAGATCCAAGAATGGGTGGACCTGGGCGGTCAAGCCCCTCCAGCGCCGGCCCCACTGCCCCGGCCCGGGCAAGTCCAGCGGGGTGGGGACCGGTGACAAAGGCGGCGGCAGGTCCTCCAGGCCTCTGGCCTCCGGCAGTCGCAGGGCGCCCCCGGCCGCCCGACCTCCCCTCGCGTCGCGGCCAGTCCGCCGGCGCCGCCCGTCACCCGCCCTCAGCCGCCCGGCGAGGCGCGGCCTCCTCGGTCGGCGCGGGGTCCCCTGGTTAACCCCTGCCCGGCAGCGCGGCCGCTGATTGGAGGAGGCGGGGCGCCGGGGCAGCGGGGACCCCCCCCAACCTTCCTCGTCCCCTCCCCCTCCTCCCCCACTGTCGGCGCTTCCCCCACCCCCCCCCAGGACCCCCCCCTGCCTCCCAGCCGTGCAAATCTCGCGAGGAAACACGCGGTTTCACTAGTGTGTTTACACCGATCACTACTAATCCGGACCGAACCGATCCGGATTAAGGGGCCGGAGGCGGGTCCTGGGCACCAGCGGTTCCGACCCCCCCCGCCCTCCGCGCCGCACCCGAGTGGCCCCCAGCCGAGCGGGCCCCCACCTCCTGGCCCGGCCTGGGCCCTCCTGCGCCTCCCTTGGCCTTTGTCCGGCGCCAGGAGGCCGGTCCCGCGCCCCCCGCGGCCGCCCGGGCCCGGGCCCGCGTCGGGCGCCTGGCTCTGTACGCGAGCCCGGGGATCTGCGGCCTTCGTGCCCCCCCTCCCCCGCCCGCCCTCTCGTGGAGCCGGGCGCCGGCGGCGGCTGCCCGGGCGGGGGGTTGCGGCGTTCAGGAGAGGCCCCGGCTCCGCCCCGGGCCTGCCCAGGGGGAGAGCGGAGCGGCCCGCAGCCGGGTCGGGTCGGGGCCCCTCCCGGGAGGAGCGTGGAGCGGCGGCGGCGGCGGCAGGTGAGAGGCTGAGCCCCGGGCGGGGGAGGGCGCCAGGCCTGGGGCATTAACCGTCCCAGGGACCCCTGTGGCCTGAGGAGCCTGCGACCTGGGCCCCAGCTCGGGGCCGGCTCCGGACCGCAGCTCCTGGGCGCTGAGGCGGGAGGGGCTCCCTGAGGGCTGCGGGTTGCCGAGGGGCCGGGCCGAAGATGGGGGAGGCCCAGGCGGCCCTGGCCTGGGATTGGGGCCGGCGGCCGGAGGAGAGACGGGGGCGCCCCGGCAGCTGGAGGCCTCGGCAGCCTCCCGGGCGCCCCCGAGAGCCGGCCCTCCCTTCCTCCGTGACAGGTGGGCCTGGAGTTGGGGAAAGTTTGGAGCCGGCGAGGGGCGCCGGGACCAGGCCCCGTCGCCCCTGCTTCCCGGCTGTTGGCTGCAGGGAGGATCCCAGTCCAAGGCCCCGCTGGAATTAGACGGAGTGGCTATTTCCTTAACATGAGTTGACATTAAACGGAATAACCGCCGGGGCGTCATTTTCCGGGCCGGGCCTGGGGATGGATAGGTTTGGGAAATGTTGCGAGAGACCTTGGGGTTTGGGAGAGACTGCAACCTCTGCCATTCCGACCTCGATTAGGGCAGGGCAAGAGGCGAGGAAGGCCACGGGGGAAACTCATTCCCCCAGTCTTTTTTTTTCCTTCTTTTTCTTTTTATAAAGATGCATTTCAACCTTTCTGAGAATTTCCTAATTCTCTCTCTAACCTGCACTTGCTTGTGTGGGTGAAACTTTAATTTGTCACCTTTTCATTCCCCTTTGCCCCAGGCTCTCAATCCAGGAAGGGAAATGAAACTGAAGGACTTGTAAGGGGGTTGTTACTGGAGATTGTGGAGTTGTTGGATTGCAGAGGAGAATGTTCGATTCATTTTTTCAGTAACTTTAAAATCACACCAACCATTCCAACTACTTAATAATGTGTTCGAAGGGGTTCTATGTAATGATGTATGCTTCTTTTCCACTGTTAATTTTAAAGGGAGGTTTTCAATGGGTCGTGTAGGAGTTGGTCTCTTGCAAAGGATGGACATATTTGTTGAAAGTAGCCTGTGCATTAATTGGTTATGGAAGTTTAAAAATGGTGTCCTCCTGCCCCTCCCTGCTTGGAAGAAGGGCTAAAAGCAGATGTCCAGAATCAAGAGAAACCTACTGCAGGGAGTGGTCAGAAAACGATTTTTTAAAGGGATTGTTATGGAGCTATATTAATTTCCTGAGTGAATGGAGGTGGATGGTTTCACCGTGGGCTCTCTATTAAATTTAAAATAATTAATTCCTTTTCTCATGAGCTACTGTGAGCTCTTCAGAGAAAGGAGCTGTATTATAGTGTTTTTGCAGTTATTTGTAGCTTCTGATTCATCCTATATTCTTTTGAAATTATTGTCAATGGTTTATATTTTTAGTTTAAGGACTATTTCCTGAGTGGGAAATAAATATCTGAAGATACTTAGCTAGATTCGAAGGCTGATAGAAGGAATTTTCTTTTTGCAGGCTAGTTCTTGTTTTGTTTTTTCCCCTGTGCTCAACTTTGTTACAGAGATTATATGAAGGGTTTGAGGGGTTTATTTTTGCTGTTAAAATCAGATCAGAACTAGGGAAGAATAAGTGACTGTCATAGAAGAGGACTTCTGAGCTGCTTTAGATGTTTTAAATGTATTACTGTTTGATGCAGCACATAGTAGTCTACCACTCGTATGCTGTATTTACTTGAGATTTAACTGCATTTGATCATTCAGTGAAATAATTACTATGAGTTTTGTTCTACAAAAAATTGCCGCCTCACATATTAGTATTTATGGTTTCACAGCCTACTTTTTTCTTTTTCAGTAGAAATGATGGAAGAATTGCATAGCCTGGACCCACGACGGCAGGAATTATTGGAGGCCAGGTTTACTGGAGTAGGTGTTAGTAAGGTGAGTAAAATGATGATAATGAACACTATTAATATTCTGATTTAAACACATTTTTTAAATGATTAAGAGCAACTTGGGTAGGCCCTTCTGATAGTTTGCAGAGGAGATGATTTGGGTCTTAATTTCAGTGAACTTTTAGGTCCTACTAGTCATTCCAGTAGTCATTTAACATAGTAGGTTTGAAAATGTTCTATATGGGAATATATGTTTCTTCTTCCTGGCTGGTATAGGAGAGGTTTCTCATGGTTCTTGTTACAAGGAAACTAACAGGATGTGTGTATAGATTCTATGCCATATTTTGTTAAAACTTGTCAGTCATTCAGAAAGAAAATTATAAAGCATTGCATAGCTTTGTTACATTGGACTTTGGAGGTAGTTACATGGTAGAGTTTTGAAAAATTGGCCTCTGTGAAGTCTGCAGACTCTTTACTGGTTGCACCCTCAGACTGGTTTGTTGCTCTTCTCATTCTTCCTTTTTAGTTTTTATTTTTGTTGCAGGAGCATAATATTAGATTAGGCCCCCATTAATGGGCACCTATGAAGTTAAGCAATGTTACAGTTTCCTATGCGTGCTTTTGTACCCACTGGTCCACCCCTCTGCTCTCATAGGATGATTTTACAATGTGTAAAATGTTTGATTTTAATGCAGTATGCAAAGTATATTTACAATATTTTATTTAAAAGCTTCATTGGTCCAAGATCACATTCCTTGGGCTTGAGGTGTGTGAATGTATGAGCTATTGAGTTTTTTTTTTTTTGAGACATAATTTTGCTCTTGTCGCCCAGGCTGGAGTGGAATGACGTGATCTCAGCTCACTGCAGCCTCCGCCTCCTGGGTTCAAGGGATTCTCCTGCCCCAGCCTCCTGAATAGCTGGGATTACAGGCGCCCGCCACTACGCCCAGCTGATTTTTGTATTTTTAGTAGAGACTGGGTTTCACCATCTTGGCCAGGCCGGTCTTGAACTCCTCCCCTCAGGTGATCCACCCACCTCGGCCTCCCAAAGTACTGGGATCACAGGCGGGAGCCACTGTGCCTGACTGAGCTTTTGATCTTTAACCAATGTGATACAACATTTCTTTCTGTGCTTTTCAAGAAATCCTGTCTCATGGTAACCTGGGTGTTGATCTCGTGCTCAGTTAATAGCTTCTCCAAGGAGAAGGCGTGTTGAGGTTTAGTTGGAAAAATGGGCTTCTTTGATGGGTCTCACATTTTGGTGAGCTGGGATAGCTTGATAGGGTTTCGTTTTTTTTTGTTTTTTTTTTTTTTTGAGACAGAGCCTTGCTCTGTTGCCCAGGCTAGAGTGCAGTGGCACGATCTCGGCTCACTGCAACCTCTGCCTCCCGGGTTCAAGTGATTCTCCTGCCTCAGCATCCTGAGTAGCTGGGATTACAGGCATGCACCACCACACCTGGCTAATTTTTTTTTATTTTTAGTAGAGACGGGGTTTCTCCGTGTTGGCCAGGCTGGGTCTCGAACTCCTGACCTCAAGTGATCTGCCCGCCTTGGCCTTCCAAAGTGCTAGGATTACAGGCATGAGCCACCGCACCCAGCCAGCTTGATACTTTTTGTTTATTCAACAAATATTGAGCACTTGCTGTATGCTAGGCATTGTGCAAGATATTAGGGCTGATGCTTGAGCACAGTACCTCCACATCTGCAGTTTGGGGAGAGCGAGATGATACCGTGATGAGATCTGTATTACAGCTGTAACAAGGTGCTGTGGGAACACAGGATTTGTTACATATTCTTAATTTCTTTGGCCACTTAGACAGTTTTACTTTTGTGGCACTTTAGAGTGGCTGTACTCCTGGACATTGTATATTGAAGTTGCATGTACAAATGTAAACTCTCTGATCTAGGTGAAGTAGCTTCAAGTAGAAGTGAGCAATGTATTTGAATACTAAATTGATCTCTAAATGACCTCTGATTTGTCTTTTCACTTGAAGATTGAGCATAAGGCTAATATCCAGATCTGTCTGTTTAAATGGTCCCCCGACACCCCCCCTCCCCCATCCTGTAAGTCAGTAAGTTTGTATTCAAATTGTACATAGTTTAAGCTCACTGATCTTTGTCATTAGGGTTGTTGTTCTGTTTTTAGGTTCTTGATGACTGTATCCAAGTATACTTTTGATGGAGTGGGGCATAAGTGATAAGAATGAGTGACATTCAACATGTTGCTGTCTAGCCCCAGCTTAAAATCATGTAACTAAGGTATCAGAAAACTTTAATACAGTAGCCTATCTGTTTAATAGAAAATTCTGCCTTCAACATAGAAAGAAGTTCTCTGTACAGAAAAAGAAATTTACCTATTTCCAGTTTTTTTCTTTGTTTTTGAGAGGGTCTCACTCTCTAGCCCAGGCTGGTGTGCAGTGGCAGGATCTCAGCTCACCTCAACCTCCACCTCCCAGTCTTAAGTGATTCTCCTGCCTCAACCTCCCAGATAGCTGGGATTACAGGCCTGCGGCACTAGCACACTGTTAACTTTTGTATTTTTAGTAGAGATGGGATTTTACCATGTTGGCCAGGCTGGTCTTGAACTCCTGACCTCAAATGATTCACCTGCCTGGCCTCCCAAAGTGTTGGGATTACAGGCATGAGCCACTCACTGCACCCAGCTTTATTTCCAGATGTTTTTATTCCATTAGTTGTTTGTTTGTTTGAGACAGTCGCTCTGTCGCCTAGGCTGGAGTGCAGTGGCACAATCTTGGCCTCCTGCAATCTCTGCCTCCCGGGTTCAAGCGATTCTCCTGCCTCAGCCTCCTGAGTAGCTGGGACTGCAGGCACCCGCCACCACGCCCAGCTAATTTTTGTATTTTTAGTAGATGGGGGTTCCACCGTATTGTCCAGGCTGGTCTCGAACTCCCAACCTTATGATCTGCCTTTCTCGGCCTCCCAAAGTGCTGGGATTACAGGCGTGAGCCACCATGCCCGGCTTCAGTAGTTGTATGTTATTTTGATATTTCCAGTCATGGTTAGTATTGTTGATTACAATGAATTTGTTACTTGAGGACTAGCAGGAGAGTATTTTTTTTTTCCATAACAAAGAAACTTGAAGAAAAAAATTAATTCTGTAGTTTGCAGAGCTGGGAAAATAAAATCTCCATTTTGTATGACTTTTTTTTTTTTTTTTTTTTTTTTTTTTGTGCAACGGAGTCTCGCTCAGTGGCCCAGGCTGGAGTGCAGTGGCCGGATCTCAGCTCACTGCAAGCTCCGCCTCCCGGGTTTACACCATTCTCCTGCTTCAGCCTCCTGAGTAGCTGGGACTACAGGCGCCTGCCACCTCGCCCAGCTTGTTTTTTGTATTTTTTAGTAGAGACAGGGTTTCACCGTGTTAGGCAGGATGGTCTCGATCTCCTGACCTCGTGATCCACCCGTCTTGGCCTCCCAAAGTGCTGGGATTACAGGCCTGAGCCACCGCGCCCGGCCTTTTTTTTTTTTTTTTTTTTGAGACAGAGTTTCACTCTTGTTGCCCAGGCTGGAGTGCAATGGTGCAATCTCAGCTCACTGCAACCTCCGCTTCCTGGGTTCAAGCAATTCTCCTGCCTCAGCCTCCCAAGTAGCTGGGATTACAGGCACGTGCCACCATGCCCAGCTGATTTTTTGTATTTTTAGTAGAGACGGAGCTTCACCATGTTGGCCAGGCTGGTCTGGAACTCCTGACCTCAGGTGATCCACCTGCCTCGGCCTCCCAAAGTGCTGGGATTATAGGCCTGAGCCACCGTGCCCAGCCTTTGTATTACTTCTTTTACCAGTAAGACATTGTACCTCTCAGACTGTTGATTTGAAATGGGGGTGTGGAGGGGATGATGATACTGGGAGAAAAGGGTGTTTTTGGAAAAACTCCTCTCCCTGGCTTTGAATTCTCATTTCGGATCCTTATTTCTCAATGAGAATATCACACCGTGTTAGGGCCGAGCACAGTGGCTCACCCCTGTAATCCCAGCACTTTGGGAGGCCGAGGCAGGCAGATCATGAGGTGAGGAGATCGAGACCATTCTGGCTAACACGGTGAAACCCCATCTCTACAAAAAAATACAAAAAATTAGCCAGGCGTGGTGGCGGGTGCCTGTAGTCCCAGCTACCCGGGAGGCTGAGGCAGGAGAATGGCGTGAACCCAGGAGGCGGGGCTTGCAGTAAGCCGAGATCACACCACTGCACTCCAGCCTGGGCGACAGAGCAAGACTCCACTCCGTCTCAAAAAGAAAAAAAAAAAAAGAGTATCACTGTGTTGATGACAGCTTTGTTTTTTGAAGATCAAAAAAGATTTCAGCCCCTGCATCTCCAAATGAGAGAGTAGAGTGACTTCCCTGTGATGGTGCCATCTAGTGGGACTGGTTCAGCCTCTTGGGCTGTCTCTTGAGTTTCTCCTAACTATTCATAACATTTTCAGTACTTTTTGATGTCCATAGAAGGAAGAAAGTCAGTGCCACTGTGGATTCTTTCCTAGTGGACAAGAGTGTTACAAGTAGCTACAGTCTTTGAACTTTCTGGTTATTGTAAATCTTCTGTTGTATAACTTTCAAGTTTTTTTCCACCTGCAAATTAGATACACACTGCATTACTTAGACTAAAACAAAATGGCCAAATCTCCACATCTATTACTTATATTTAAGTGGCTCATTACCTATATTTGGGTTTTTAATTTTTTATTTCTAATTTTCTTGCATAGTGCAAATTTTTAATTTTCTTGCATAGTGTGTTTATATGTACTCAGTTTCTCAGCATATTTACTTCATAATAATGTTAAACCAAGGTCATTTGTTTTGGATTTTGGGATGCACTATTTGGTTTTTGTTTAAAAGATTGACATTTTCTGTCATTCATGAATTGATGAGGGGAAAGTAGTGTAATGTGCACCGAAAAGTCTATAGCGGCTCCCTAGTCTAGCTGCCCCTTTTTAGGAGGACCTGGAACCATCGTCTTAGCAGTTTTGAGGTGATAAGGTTAAATTGGGTTGTGAACCTAGTTCTTTTTTTTTTTTTTTTTTTGAGATAGAGT